TTGTTAATGTAAACTAGTTTAGTTTACATGGGCCCTTGAATAATATTGATTATTCAAAGGGCAAATTAATAAATGCTTGGGCTCCTTTTAGAATAAGATTTTATTGGAGCATGCAAGTGAAAAAACAACTAATTGCAAAATGACCCATGTATATATAAATGCAAATGGTTGCATTTTAGGTTAAGTGTTCATTTTGTTCACTCAAAAGAAAAACAAGCTCTCTCTCTTAGGTTCGGCCACACTCTCATTCTCTCAAGGTGGTGTTAAAGTGAGGAGGATTCATCCTTTTGAATCTTGGCTTCATCAAACCTAAGCACTAGGAGAAGGTATAATGTTTTTATGCTTTATTTACGGTTTTTGAATCCTATTAATCCATATGTTTACATGCATGTCTTGTTTACATGCTTCCAATCGACATTTTCCGCCACCTTTTCATGTTTTCTTTCAAGCATTAGGGTGGCTGCTCAATCCACACAAGCCTTTCAGATTTTTCCTTTCCCATCCCTTATCCATAGGATCATTGCCACTTACAAACCAAATTTCTATGAAGTGGAGCCCGTGCTAAAACTAAAGATTGTCACCAAGAAGTCTCTTAGACCGCCATCAAGGAACATTCCATCTTCTTCCACTACTAAACATTTATGCACTAACACTTGGCAGTTCAAGTTGTTTGATGCAATGCAGGACCTGGAAATGTCTATGGAGAATGTTCTCTAATATGTGAAGGAAATGCACTTCTCCTTCAATGATCGACTGGACCAAATGGAGAATATAATGAAGAAAGCACAAAAAAATTATGCTTCCCCTATTCAAACTGAACCTACTATAGTTCTTGATGTTCCTGTTACTGTCCCTACTGCTCTTGTTGTTCCTACTGTTGTGGCCCAAGAAGAAGAATCTGCTCATGAAGGTGATGAGCACTCCAAAGATGTAGCTGCACATGAAAGTAAACAGCACTCCGAAGAAGAACATGTCTCTCCTTTGTATTCCGAAGAAAATGCCCCTCCTCTTGTCAAAGAAAACACCCCTCTTGTCCAAGAAGAATCCTCACGAGATGTTGCTGAGACAACGTCCACTGCTGTTTTTGATGTTCAAGTGGAGGACTCACATGTCACCATTATTGCTTCTCCCAAGAAAAGAGTCAAGAGGAAAGTTCATTACTCATCTGTTCCCTCTCGAAAATCATCAAGACTTCGTTCAAACATATGAAAAAAGAGGGGGAGTAGGTATGGAGTATGGGGGAGTGACTTTTTAGTTATTTATTTTGATAAACTTTTGATATTTTTTTGTTTATTGTTGAACTACTAAATTGATCTGTTGTTATCTCTTCATGGGAGAGTTGTTTTTTTATGTTGTATTTGGTTTGTTTTCAGAGCCTTTTTTTTTTTTTTTTTGTTTCAATTATATTGCCTTGTTGGTTTATTGGCCAACGTTGTGTTGTGTTGCTTTTTTATGTATGTTTGATTCTTAACGATTTGCATGTTTGATTGTTTGATTGAGATAGGTTTGCTCTTGATCTCTTTAGTTTATATTCTTTGTTCATAAGTTTGACAAAGGGGGAGAATGTAGAATATTCTTGTTTGTGAAACTTATGACTTGTGTGTGCACAACAGTTATGTGTACACACTGGTTACCAATCTTATGATTTGGCTTGTTTCTTATGTCTTATGTGTGCACACTGGCTTCTAGACTTGTGTCTTGGCTTGTTTCGTATCGAGTGTGTGTGCACAACAATTTGTGCTTGCACAATCACTTTAGATATTTGCGACCTAGCACGAGTTGTATGTTTGATAAATTAGCAAAGATATTTGTTTATCTTTGTTGCTACCTTTTTAAGACCTTTTACAAGTTTCATTTTATCCTTATGTGGTCCTAGGGAATAAAGATGTTTTTCCCGGTTTGTTTTGTGGTCCAAACCAAAAGAAGGAATACTTTCCTTATTTGGACAAACATGGGTCAGCCCTTTGTTGGATGACGTGGCACAATAGTGTAGAGCAAGAAACCCTACATTATATAATACCCTTTCTTGTGTGTATGAATCTAACCTTTTGATCATTTTATTCTTCTTTGTACTATGAAATTTCCTTAGAGTTTATTTTTCTTCAAAGGTTCATAGGTCCATTTCTTTTGTGCCAAAACCTCACCATTTCATCCATTATCTTGATGGCTCTTGGAATGTGGTTCCTTTGGTGATGTTGATGTGTGGCGTTGGTGCTTGAAGCTTGGGTGGTTTACAAGTTGTTCTCGGGTGTGTTTCCAGTGTGAAGAAGGTCCAAAGAGTTTCAACCCGTTAAGGATTCAGAGTGTGGTGCTAAGTGTAAAGTTGAATAAGGAGTTCTTTTTACTATATCTTAGATCAACTTTGAACATTATCTTGTAATGTGTTTTTTAACTTAGTGGATTGTTTCAATCTGGACAAGGTCCTATGGATGTAGGCTAAAAGTGGATTTTAGCAGAACCATGTGTATGATTGTGTTCTTTACTTTATGCACTTGTGGAAGATATGTTTTAATCTAAAATCTCCTAATCAACTTGGCAAAAGTATTCCGCTGCACTTAAAATGGGTAACCAACCACCAAAGTGAGTTAACCAACTCTAACAATTGGTTTCAAAGCTTGTTCTGATAAGTTGCTTTAGTTGATCCTTACCTATTTTGCCTATTTTTGTGTGCATCTGTTTGGTCTTGTGTTTGGGTGAAATTAGATTTGTTGTTGCACACTCGCCATCACCATCACCATGAGAGCACTCCCCTCAACCTCTTGACCCAAACCCATCTCACCCCAACCTCGTTCACCTCACCAAAACCCAACAACAACCCACTGTTTTAGCTGCATAATTTTTGCAATTTCCAATCGTCTCACTCACCGAAAATCACCTTTGTTGCCACCTTTCGACTAACCAACCCTTCCTCTCCAAAACCCCCAACATCCCCGCCACTGCATACTCATTGATCGTTGTCCTCCTTTATAGGGTTTGCCATGAATAGTTGAAACAGGTTACTTGGCTCGGTGAAGGCCCTGGGTCCCAGTTAAATCGGTCAGGCCAGGCTGAGTTTTAAAACACAAGTTTCAAGCATTGACAAATTTACATACAATTTCTTGGAAAATTTTGATCATTACTACTTCTAGATTAATCAAGTTTTAACTACTCTGTCTTCTTTCCTCCATTTTCTCAGTAAACACTCTGGCTTCTTTCCTCATTTTCTTAATAAACAAATAGAGCATTCAACCAAACATAAAAAAACTTCACAAACTTAATTAAAACAAATGCATATACAATTATACAGAAACGCGAAAGAGAGAGTAATTAGAGAAAGCGGGGCAGGTAAACTTTAAACCACCAACCTTGTGTTAGACTCGCTCACAACAACTAGCCAACTCGCTAAGTCACTCACTCACTCTTAGCCAGGGATGAGACATGAGTCGAGTAGTTCGCGAGCTACTTGAGCTCGGCTCGTCAAAAGCTCTAACTTGACTTGGAGCCAATCGAGTCGAGCTTGAGCTAGAGTGGCTCTTGAAGGGGATCAAGCCAAGTTTGATCCAGGAAAAGCTCGACTCATTAGGCTCGCGAGCTTCAGCGAGCTCGGAGGACCAATTTCCAAGATTTTAAACTTCATTTTATTTTCAAGTTGTAAAAATGACAAACAATACCCATTCACACTTCAGAAATAAACCCAAATCGATTTGGGATTTTTCATTGTGAAGTGAACCCTACGTCCCTAACATTGGAAATCAAATCTCTCCCCTATGTCGTTGCCAATGATGACTCTGCCGTTGTCGTTGCCATACACCGTCATGGTCGTCTACACTCTCCAGTAGCTTCCTTAGCTCTAAAATACCCAAACATCCCATTCACAACTCAAAACCATTTTCGTAAATTAGTCACATTGCCGTAGCTAACGACTTCTCCACTACCATTCGCTGTCTCCATCGTGCTAAAGCTCTCGATCTTGACCCACGTCTAGTTGTTAAGTGAGTTTAAATGCATTTGTTAATTATTATTATTTTGTAAGTTGCAATTTTGGTTTTGCATTATCTTTGTGCTGGAGTTGAAAGTTTGGATTTTGGATGCTTTTTCATTGTTATGTCATTTTGGATGATATTGGTTGCAGACTTGCAGTTTTAGTTGTTTGGTTTTGCATCATCTAGGTGTTGAAGTTGAAAGTTTGCGTTTAGGGGGAAATTGTAAGTCTACTGATATAGTGTAATCTACTTGGCTGGTTGAGATTTGAAAAAATCAATTTTGCATTAGTCATTGAATTATGGAAGTGGAAACAATCGGGGTTCCTATTAGTCACGTTACACTCACATTATTCTTCTACTTTAATAGGTTGAAAAGCATTCAATTACATATATAGTTGCTTGATTTTTATATTTCATACTAATACTAATAGTTGCTTTATTCTTCCATTATAGGTATGGAAGGCTCATCTAGTAGCCGACCCTTATTGATTAACTCAAATTCGCTAGTTCAAACCCTAACAAGTACTCCAGATCCAACTATAAGTGCAACTTGTGGTACTAGTCCGGTTGTTCAAGAAGAAAATGATGATATTAATAACCCATTCCAAAGGAAGAAAAGAGCGAAGACATCTCCTGTTTGGGCAGAATTTAGAGAGGTTCTTCAACCCGACAATACGAAGAAGGCAAAATGCATCCATTCTACGGCCAAATTGTCCATTAATGCAACTAGAAGCACTACTCAATTGCTAGACATTTGAAGGGGTGTCTACGGTGAAGGATTTTTAATAATCAGCAACAACAGTTGAACTTTCCAGTTACAAATGCAATGGCGGCAGGTAGTTCACTGCCTTCTCTTATAGGTGGGAAGTTTAAGATAGCTCGGATGAGGGAACTAGTAGCGCAATGGGTGTTTTGCATGATCACCCATTCAGAGTTGTCGAGCAAGAGGGTTTTAATAATTTGCTAAAATATAAGACGCCTGGTTGGGAAAAAATATCACACTTCACAAGTAAAAATGATTGTTAGAAGGTGTATGAAATGGAAAAGAAGAGGTTGAAGGTTGTTTTGAAGAATATTGATAGAGTTAGTTTGACTACTGATCTGCGGAATTCAAGTAATCAAAAACCTGAGTACATGGTTGTGATGGGGCATTGGATAGATACTAGTTGGAGGTTGAAAAAACATGTGCTCAATTTTGTTTGTTTATCGCCTCCTCGCGGTGGTGTCTAGATTGCTGATAGCATGTTTAACTATTTGCGCGAATGGGGAATTGAGAACAAAGTCTTCACGATATCAGTTGATAATGTGTCCACTAATGACATGGCAATCAAGGTTCTGAAGGAAATTTTTTCTATAACCAAGAAGCTTCTTTGTAGGGGAAAGTTGTTTCATGTAAGGTGTTGCACCTACATATTAAATATAATGGTGCAAGGTCTTAATCAGATTAGGCACATTATCAAAAACGTCTATGATAGTGTCTACTACATCAATCAATTGGAGAGTAGACTAAAAATCTTTTCAGAAATTGTGCGACAATTGTATTTGCCTCACAGAAAGTTGATGTTGGATTGTAAAACGAGGTGGAACTCAACTTATGAAATGTTGGCAACTGCACTAAAATTCCAAAGGGTGTTTCCAAGATACTTTGAAAGAGACCAACGTTTCACTTCTTGTCCCTTTGATGAAGATTAGGATAAAATAGAGAGAGTTTGTGAAATTTTGAAAGTTTTCAATGTTGCCACTAACATCATTTCAGGGTCTGAATATCCAACATCAAATATATTTCTTGCAGAGCTTTGTAAGGTGAAAGTTTTGTTGGATAAACATGCTAAGGATGAAAATGAATTTGTGAAGACCATGGTGAGGAAGATGAAAGGGAAATTTGATAAATATTGGGGAGAGTGCAATTTGTTGATGTTTATAGCTGCTGTTCTGGACCCTAGGTGCAAAATGAGAGTGTTGGACTATGCTTTCCCCAAGATTTATGGTGATCTTGAAGCACGAGCTCATTTTACAACAATTCGGGATGCCTTGTACTAGTTGTACAGGGAATATGTGGCCGACAGTCAATCATCTGTCATTCGACGTATGCCCGCAACCAGGCAGGTTAGGGGGAGTAGGAGTGGGAGTGGGAGTGGGAATAGGAGTAGGAGTAGGAGTAGGAGTAGGAGTGGGACGAATACGGATGATGACTCTTCTAGTTGGTCAGATATAATGAATTATATGGGGGTAACTGAAATTGTTGCCCCGAAAAAATCGGAGCTAGATTCCTATTTGGAAGAGCCATGTTATAAGTGTCAAGTGGATCATGAGGTGTTCGATGCTTTAAAGTGGTGGCAAGCAAATAGTTTGAAATATCCAGTGTTATGTAAGGTGGTTCATGATATACTTGTCATTTCTATTACCACAGTGGCTTCGGAAGCTACCTTTAGTGCGGGAAGTAGAGTTATTGACAATTACCGATCTCGATGTCTCTAGACACAGTGCAAGCACTACTATTTGGAGGTGATTGGTGTCTCAATCTCTTCAGACTAAAGAAGTTGACTAGGTAAGTTCAATTAACCCTTAAATTATTATTGTTCTATGTCTCGTTTATTTAGAATATACTTTTCTTTACTCTAACTTAAACTTTCTAATTTTTTCCTATATGTGTTTTAGACGGATGAGGAACCATTAGAGATTATCCTTCCTATCTATTCATCTGAAGGGATTGAGTAGATTGTTTGACCCTCCAACATATATCCGCAGGTTTGTAAATATATAGTTTTTTTTAGTGCTTCACCTGTCATTAAAGGTTTTATTAGTTTATTGATTTGTTTGTTTTCATGGTGAATTGCAAGTAATGTTAGAAGTGCACCAGGAGAGAAAAACCCAAAGCCTCCCAAAGTAGAAGAAAGGCACCAAAGCCACCCAAAGCTAGGCCTCTCACCTGAAAATATTGTAAATGCAAAGTGTAAATACAAAGTGTAAATACAAAGGAAGCAAATAGTTTGCAAATCAAATGTTTGCAATTCACCTTTAAAACAATTCACCATTCACCAAATCAAAATCAACACAACAATCACCATTCACCAAATCAAAATAAACACAGCAATATCACAATATCCCTCATAACAACAATCACCATTCACCACTAAATCATCATAGCAATTCTCGCTTTAGTTTTCTGCTCTTTTGTCTTTATATGTAGTTTCATGGAGTATACTTTTGTGTTTGTATATAGCTTCATGGAGTGTACTTGTAACGCCCACATCAAGGTACGTAGCCTTATTTATGCGCTAATACCCGTAGTTGAATTTTATTAAAGTTATCTTGAACAAGTGTGAAGAAAATTCTCTAAAATTTCATTAGGGGTAAAATGGTCTTTTCACTCATAATTAGTTGAAAAAGTGGGGAGTGAAAAGAAATAGAATAACATGGAGAAGATAATAAAAATGAGGGCATTCTTGTAATTGACTAAAGGACATAGATGAAATTTCATAGAAAGTGCAAGGGTAAAATGGGAATCTAAATATATATTATTTTATGATATTAAAAGTTGAAGAAGAGAAACCCTAGCCACTCTACCCTTCATTCAAGCCATTCTCTACCCAAATTCTCTCAAATTTCTTCATTAAATTTCCAAAGAAATTCATAGGATTTTGACTAACTTTTGATAGCTTTTCAATCTTAAGCATCCAAAGGTAAGATTCTTGCACCAAGAAGTGAGATTAAATATTAAAGTTTTGAATTCTTATGGTTGTATATGCTTAGGGTTTGAGAAGGACGGAATTCTACCAAAGAGAGAGTATAGTGTTGGAGTTGCTCAAATTCAAGGTATGTAAACCTAATTTGAACCTTAATTTAAGCAAGACTTTGTTGAATGAATTTTTTGTGCAAGTTTGTATGTGATGGTATGAGAGAATTATGGGCTGTTTTTTTATGTTTATTGATGTATAAATTCTAGCCATGAGAAGTAGTGTATGGTTATGTGATGATTTGGTGAAGTTGTGGAAGATTTTGTGTTGAGATTTTTGGAGTGTAGAGAAGTGATAAATTCAGCCAGGTTTGATACTCAATTCAGTGACTTTTTGGCTCACAATTTGGTTGAATTAGAGAGTTGTAGAAGTGTAGCCAATATGGTAGTAGCATGTGCATATGAATTGTTTGATGAAAATCCTAAGAGAAAACATGTTACCATGGTTGCCCTGTCAAATCTGTGACCTTCTGAGTGATTTTTGAGCATCTTACCCATCAAAATGGGTTAAGACCTAAACATAAAGGTTGTAGCCCTTTCTCTAAGCTTTAAAATGAGACTAAGATCATAGCAATTTGACATGTATGACTCGAGATATGCCTTCTTGAATATGACTTGCGCAGAATGACTACCTCAAAAGTACCTCCAATTTATTAGTTATTTTTAGTCTAATAATCTATGATTGATTTCAAGTATGGGAATGTTGTTGGTAGAGAATACTAGTTCCATAATGATATCTTTATATGCCATAATGCATTCTCACATTGGAGCACTTGCATTTAGAAAGAATAGCAAAGAATGAGCATATTTCCATGCACATATACATATATGAGAACATTAAAGAACAAAGAGAAAGAGAGTTTGGATGAATTGTAGAGAATTTCTTTTATACATGTATATACTTATATATGAAGAATTGTTGATGGAATGATATTGAATGATGGTTAGAAATTATCCATGAGAAGTAGTGTTTGTGTACTTGATGTTTGATGAGAGTTTGGATGAATTATGGAAAAATTGGAGTAGAATTCATGGAGTGTGAATCCTGAACAGGTTTGATGTTAATCTTGGTGTGTTTTATTCCAAATTTTGGCGGCTTAGAAGAGAGGTAGAAATGTAGCCAATTAGAGTTGATGTGTGCATATAAATTGTTTGATGAAATGTCAAAGAGAAGTGCATACATGATTATGATTATTTGATATCTTGAGATGAGTTGGTAGATGGTAGAGAATGTTATTTTCACATTCCATATTGCATTATTGCATCCAAACATGTGAATTTAGAAAGAATAATAAGCATGAGCCCATATACATGCATACATACTCATAAGAGCATTAAAGAGCAATAATGAACATTAAAGTTAAAGAACAAATAGAAAGAAATGAGAAATATTAAAGAAGTTCAAATCTGAAATTTTATCTAAAGAAGTATAAAAAGATAAAAGAAAAGATGGTTGTTGCGATGGGGAACCCGTGAGTGACAAGAAGAAGAATATTCACACATGTACGTCGCCTTTAGTGAGCGGCCTAAGAAGAAGAAGAATGTGTACAGTCCATAAGAGTACATGTGGATGAGGACTGTACCCAGAAGAATATTTCTAATGCACGTCGTCTTTAGTGAGCAGCCTAAGAAGAAGAAGAATTTATACAGTCCGTAAGAGTACATATGGATGAGGACTGTACCCAGAAGAATATTCCTACATGCATGCCGCCTTTAGTGAGTGGCCTAAGCAGAAGAAGAATTTGTACAGTCCATAAGAGTGCATGTAGATGAGGACTGTACTCACTCACACGGCTAGGGTTTCGAATCCATGCCTTAACTGAGTCCGATCGGCAAAGAATAAGAAAGAAAAGAAAAGAAAAGAAAAGAATAAGAAAGAAAAGAATAGAAAGAAGAGAATAAGAATAGAAAGAAAAGAAGAGAATAAGAATAGAAAGAAAAGAAGAGAATAAGAAAGAAGAGAAGAGAAAAGAAGAGAAAAGAAAGAATAGAAAGAAAGAAAGAACATAAAAAAAAGAAAGAAACAATAGAGAAAGAATAGAAAGAAAGAAATACAGAGAAATGAAACAAAAAACAGAATAGAAAAACATAAAAGAAAATACACATTATATGCATTTGTGCATTTGCATCATACCTATGCATGATACCATGCCTATTATCACGGGTAGTGAGAAATTAGAAATAGAGAAAGAATAGAAAAAGAACAGAGAAAGAATAGAGAAAGAACAGAGAAGAATAGAGAGGTGTGATGTAAGGAAATAAATTCAGAATTTAAGCAACGGAGAGAGAAGAGTAGCATAGCGGGTTTACTTACTGAGCAATTAGTGCTCACCCCGGTGTTTTCAATGTTTTTGCAGGTAATAGGAGAGATGCGGTCACTTGGAACGTCATGCAGCGGAAGGGTTGGGCAACACTGTCGAGTTGATGTTTTGTGACTTTATTATATTTTATAAAGATTTTTATTTAAAGAAAAATTAGTTATAGGCCCATTATTTTATACTCATCTACATGTATATTTTCTTATATATATTTTGCAAGTTTTACTGTTATTTTCCGAGTATTCTAGCTAGAGAGTGAGTATTACAGTACTTTTGTGTTTGTATATAGCTTCGTGTGTTTGGACATGGCACATAGCTTCATGGAGTGTACTTTTGTGTTTGTATATAGCTTCATGTGTTTGTACAGAGCTTCATGGAGTGTATTGTCTAGTGTCTACCCTTTTGTAGTTGTACACTTGTACTTGTGTTTATGCAAGAAATGCATATTACATATTTACATCAAACAAATATATCAAACAATTGTAATGCATATTTCATCCAATAACTTTAAACTTGTCATTTCATTGTTGTTTTGGAAGATTATTGGTGTTGGAAATGGAAGATTGTGTTGAATTATGGGCGAGTTTTGCCTTCAGAGTTGCAGCTTCTTTCTAGTTCACGAGTAGCCATCGAGCTCGAGCTTGAGTGCACCTTAAGACTTGTGAGCTCGAGCTCGAACACTAATATTCAAGCTCGGCTCAAACTCGAGCTTGTCATTGTTCATCACGAACCAAGCTTGAGTATCGAAATACTCGGCTCGTATCATATCGTGTACATCCCTACTCTTAGGCAACTTCTCCTTCTCTTTTTCTTGCTGAATTAAGAATGCTTCTTGCTTAGGACGGAAATGAAAGAAGCAAGGATTAATATCGGGACTTTCGTGAATTTTCCTAAGGTTAGCTAAAGTGGAAGGTTGTTAGTTCATAACCACCTGGGCTGAAGTTGAAAGCTGGATGAGCAATATCCCCAAACGAATATTATTGTAACTTCTTTTTTCCACCAATTTGAAATTAATTTGTAAGTCAATCTAATAAATCATTTGTTTTTCCAACATTGGAATTTCCTAGTTGCTCACAATGAAAATTAATGAGTGACAACTGAAAATTAAGATAGGATTGAAATTAAGAATTGAATGATGTAGGATTGAAATTGAGTGAAAGTAAAAGATGCAACATTGTCAACTTTAAATACTAATTTTTGCAGATTAATAGAAATATTATATTATATCGTGTACGTTTCGTGCACATTTTGCGTCGCTCTAAAAAAAACTGCATTATTTGATACATATCAAATTTAGTTATATAATTTCTTAATCTTTCAACAGATTTAACCCATATATAATCTTACGACCTTATAACTTCTCCAAATTTCTTTCATTTTCTAAAGAAATATTGCAGCAATTTACAAATGGCAAGGGTATAATATACATTGATGAAGTTATTAAGAAGAAACAAGGAAAGAAGTCCAAATGATGGTTGAGGTACCAGGTTCTTATTTGCAAAATGTTTTTGCATCTTTATATAGATGATTTAGCAATACCATATTTTGTGAAACTAAATTCATTCTCGGCTTAAATTAGAGCATCTTCAAGACTTTTAGGTATTTGACAATCTAAATAGCTTCGCAATATATGGATTCTGTTTTCTGTAAGTCAGCCAAAACTGTGCATCTTTCCAAGGCTTTATTATTACAGTGTTGGCTCAAACTTTTGAAACTGAAAATTTCTTTAGACGAACTTGAAGCAGGTTTTAGTGATTGCATTTATCTTGTGTAAGCTACTTGTCCAACACTGGCTTGGTTCACAAGACTTTGTGTGGTCAATCTTCTAGTGACACACTGTTTTATAACTTCACCCAACTGAAAGTTTCCCAAACCAAAAAATAAAGCAATTTTGGTTGGTGATAAAAATTATATGGGCAATTAGCAAACGCATTTCCTTTACTTGATTTTCTATATGATACTAAGAAGCCCCATTTGGCCATTCGTAACAAATCACCCAGATAAGTAAAGTTTCATATTAAGTAATCGTAATGTGTATCACTCAAAAAAATAAAATATAAAAAAAATCATGAACCAACAATCTTTTATAAAATATTGTCTTTTGGATATTAAAGACAATATTTATGTGCACTCACCGTAGAAAATTTTAAGGATAAACTAAGTGATTTTGCATAAGAGAGCCTCACAGCCATACAGTTCATAAGTAAAATGTTTGTGTAGCTTCCAATAATATGATTCTTCCCGAACAATAGATGACATCATTTCAACATTGGCCTTTCAAGATTTCGACATTTATCCATACGCAGTTCTACAGGATTAAACACTTGCAGTAAAAGTATTTCAGACCTGGTGCAAATATCACAGCCTTTATATTCTTTGTAGGATCTTTACGACAACCGTTATAGTTCAAATTGGGTATGGTCAAGTTAACAAGCTTTGGTGAAGAAATATCCAAGACTGCTAGGAAACCCGTCATGAAAAACCGAAATAAGAGCAAGTTTCTAGATTTACCAAATCGGAAATGAGATTATAAATGTGTTTTTTGTTTGAACTGATAAAAATATGAGAGTTCTATCGTTTTCAACAAGGCGATTCAGGGAGAGTTTCCTGCATAGAGGATGCGGCAATGAGCGAGCTTGAGCGTCCTCAAGTTCTAAAATTGAACCAGGATTGGATAATAACTGAAAAGATCAATTTCTAACTCTTCAAGGTCGTGTGATTTGGCATATTCTAACGCATGGAAATAGACTCTTCTCCCCTGACCATTGTACCACTCTCCTTCCTGACAAAATCTCAGTTTAAAGAGTTTAAAGGGCTTGTGGTGATGCGAAACATGGAGGACGGATTCATTAAAGCAAACCCTAGTTTCGGTTTTGAAGTCGAAATTTAGACTATGAATGTATGTCAAGAGATATTTCCTTTTGTTTTTACAAGATCACAGATCTTGACGGCGTATTTGATAATCATCAAAGAGAGAATATAATGGACTAAAGGGTCTGGCAAATAACTGAGCCTGTCGATCTCCATTTGATCGCCAACCTTCCTTTTTTATGCTGTTTACCTTATCTGCAGCTTCAAATGGTTAGATTTCATAGGACTAATGGTACAAAACAACTATGGCTCTACGGTCTCTCACTGATTTTAATGCTTTTTACTGTTAATGTGCATGGTTGAGAAAGGATGTAAGAGTCATCATTTTTCATTTTGTTGAAGGAAATTACTCTGATTTTAGCCCCAAAAAAATATATATATATTATGTTCGTTTACATGACAAAATGGGACAAGAAGGATTAACTTTACCCTGTCCATTCCCTTTATGCTTAAATAGTTGCCAAATTTTGCATTCCACCTTCAATGTTTCGTCCGTTTAATTTCATCAGAGAATTAATATCCCAAAATAGGTTTGTGCCCTTTAAATTTACTTCAATTTTAGAAAAAAAATTTACCGGTTACGGTACCCACAAGGCCACAGCCGGAACCGACTTGACACATTTATTTATTATTATATGCAACAAATAATAAAACTATCTGGTTCCACCCTTTTAAAAACTATTACTTTGGTCCCAATCACAAAAAGTCACTCTTTTAGTCTTTAATCTTTTTCATTGAGTTGTTTTTGCCTTTTGCTCTTAGGACTAAAGTGTTAGTTTATGGAATTTTGGGACCCGTATCGTCAAAGGTTAGGGACAATTATGTTATAACCCAAAAACAGAGAGTTACCTAAGTTAGAACTTCACTCGTGTGACTTACAACTTCACTTGAGTTCGTGAGTTCCAAATTTAACTTTCAACGAAGAACAAACTCTCTAATCGCAACCTTTGTGTATCTATCGTTAGTTCACAATCCAACTCTTTGGCGTAACACCGTCGGATTTTCTGGTATTAATTTATGCATGTTGCTGATACAGACATTTGTCCTGATTATAACGATATCCGAGGTTGGTCATCAGGCGTTTGACATTATGCCTCATGGACAATATAGCTTTTTTTTTTTTAAAGGTTCTGGCATTAATGGGTTCCCACACATTCCTGAGTTTGTTTTTTGTAATTTTCTTTTATTGTGTATTCTTGTTTTCTATGAATTCTGTGTTGGGTAAGTTTCTTAGAAATTGACTTTGATGTGATATAGATAAAACAACAGAGATTGCACTTCAATAATGAGTGATTGATATGCTATTTTTTAGTTAAATAGCTTGAAACATTATTGCTTTGCCTTTTAGTCAATGGGTTCTTGGGAAGTAATGTTTTAAGTGATCAAAATGTGAATTTTGCATCTCCTGAGTGAATTTGGTTGCCTAGTGAGCTTGAGGCTAATTTGAGAATTGGGTTTTTTGTCCTTGTGGCTTGTAGAGGCTAAAAAGTAGTAACTTAAATTTTGGTAAGTTGGTTAGGAGGTCAGTCTTGTAACTTTAAATTGCATATGATTCCAGTTTTGCTAGTGATTGGGTCTTAGTATTAGTTCCTACTGCATGAAACACAACTGTGCGCTAATCTCAATTGCATATGATAGTGTATAAATGTTAAGCATTTGATGCTTTCGCTGTGCTTAAGTTGAAATGAAAATCTTTTGTTTTTCCAACATTGGAACTTCCTAGTTGCGCACAATGAATTTTAATGGGTGAGAACTGAAAATAGTACCTCTTTCTTGGGTTTTATTTTTCTGATTAGAAATGTTTGTAATGCCTTCTCTATGTTTGATTTCAAGGCAATTATGTGATTAACTAGCTTAAACTGTGATGGAAGCCAAAAATTTTCACTTTCTGAAGATTGTAGGTGTTGAGTACAAAGCCAGAGCTGAAACAGATGGTTGTCTCTTATTTCTGAAATTGGGGTACAGTCATGAGGTTGAACTCACTGTTCCTCCTGCTGTCCGTGTTTTCTGCTTCAAAAACAATATAGTTTGCTGCACTGGAATTGACAAGCAAAGGGTGCACCAGTTTGCTGCTTCTGTTCGTAGTTGCAAGCCTCCTGAAGGTTACAAAGGCAAGGGTATAATTTACATTGATGAAGTTATCAAGAAGAAACAGGGAAAGAAGTCCAAATGATGGTCGAGGTGTCAGGTTCTGGTTTGCAAAATGTTTTGCTTCTTTATATAGATGTGTTAGCAATGCCATGATCTGTGAAAATAAATTCATTCTCTGCTTAAATTAGAGCATCTTCAGGACTTTTAGGCATTTGATCATCTAAAGAGCTTCACAATATATGAATTCTTATTTCCATAAGTCAACCGAAACTACTCATGTTTCGAAGGCTTCATTAATACAGTGTTGACTCGAACTTCTGCATTGAAAATTTCTTTAGACGAATTTGAAGCAGGTTTTAATGTCGTCATTTATCTGGTGTAAGCTACTTATCCAATATTCACTTCACAAGACTTGGTGTGGTCATTCTTCATTTTGATAGACTTATTTTTTTATTTTTTATGATGCCCATTTAGCCATTAGTAACAAATCGCCCAGACAAAGAAAGTATCATATTAAGTACTAGAGAATGTAAACTTTGATCATATGAAAAACATTAAATTTCATATCGGCAGAAGATAAAAGATAAATTAAACTTAAATTCGAACAATCCCCTTTCTCCTTTGATTATACTACATGTACAAAGTTATATAGTCTTTCGTATGAAACGACTATGAAATGGTACAGAATGGATGAATTAGAATAAAAATTAAATTAAATAAATGAAGTTGAATAATATGCAGATCTCGTATATGCAGCACCACTCTTCACTTCTTGTTTCCTACTTTGATTTCGTTACGTACTGAACACAGAATCAAATCAGAGTCAATATAAAATTTACGCAGTTTCTCACACTTTATATTAGTCTTTTAAAATATTTTGCTGAACATAAGCTGGAATTAACTCAAAAAAGACTAATACAATTACAATTTATTTCAACAAGAGAATGGCACTGCCAAGAAAGAAACTTAAGTTCACTTTTTGGGTTAATCACGGATTATCCATCCGGCTGCAACCCATTTATTTACTTAATTTCTTCAGTACACATAGCTTTATAGTAATAACAGAAAACCTGTAGCTCTGTAAATATTAATTAGTTAAGAGTATAAAGCACGTATGCCATTGATGTCATCTTGGTTGAGCTCTCTCTTAACGGTTCCTGCTGGAATTTCTGAAAACATAATGGCATTACGATCCATACTGTGTCCAAGTCCAAGAAGGTGGCCTATTTCATGCACTGCCACCGATTCCAAATCCACTTGGTTTGTGTTTGGATTAGTGCTCCAGCTCTCATCAGCATCATAGTGAAACAAACCAATTTCGGGTTGAAAAGCATGAGCCAGAACGTTGCCTGGACCATCAAATGGCGATCCATCTCCATGGTCACTTCTATAAAACCCTATTCGAAGATCAGCTTGTGCTCCTCCTGTTGCCTCCTCGAATGTGAACTGGGAAACATCCGCCCATTTTTGTAATGCTCGCGAGATGATTGACCTCAATTCTTCCAAGCCAATCACTGGGATGGCGGAAGGAAAACTATAGGTTAGATGAGTCTTGTCACTAGGCCACTTTGGCATTCCCTGAAAGAATGAATAATGAGCCACCATGTGGAAGTTATCAGACTTGTGGCCGTGTTTGTGTTCATTACCAGCTGTGTTAGTGTGATGAATAATATCAGGGTTTCCACACCTTTTGATCATCATCTCTTTGATGGTATCCGAGTCAAGAATCCCGGTGACTTTGAGATTGTAATTTTTCGGGTAGTTTTCAAGGCAGACTCTAAAAGATTAAGATTGATGTTATTTTGATCATCGTAATTCAAGTATCCAAACTGAATGATGTAGTGTATGGGCCAAAATTCGTATTGGGCCTGACGAGGTTTAATCATAACAGTAATAAGTGACGGCCCAGAGCGTTGGCTCAATCCCGATTGGACTCACGTTTAGAATACCTTGGGAACTATCTGGTCTATGAGTTGGGTCAACCCCCGAGTTAAGCTAAACTGGGTCCGGCCCATTCGCCCGTAGCTATTTATAACAAGGATTAGAATCCTAACCAAATTCCTCTTCTGACAAGGTCACGTATCTCACCCAAAGAGGAAAGCCTTGATAGACAAAGGCAAATAATCTAATCTCTTTCCGAAAAGAGAGTTCCCCTACCAACTAAGACTCAAGAGTCTTACTAGGATTCGAGCCCCTGCGGTTCACTATATAAGCTGAGGCCAGTTCCCTCATCAGGGGAGAGAAAAGACCACCATTAAGCCCTGATTCTCCTATCGCCAAACCCCTGATCTACTTCAATCCTCTCGCATCAGCTGAACTCCCTCAGAGACGCAAGGAGACACCCTGCAGGTCCATCAACGTTGTCAGTGGCTCTCTTCACAAGATTCAATCTTCAATTCAATTGTAAATTTTAACGTTTACAAATAGCGTTTGAAGTCTTGGAGGCCTTTCACAGTCTGACCCTTATAAAACCCCTCTAGATTTTGAAAGAATTTGGAAGAATCGCCATCATCCTTTAAGAAAAGACTTTGGGTCAATTTGAAAGTTAATTAAGGATTTAATGATGGCAATAAAATGAATAAATATCACAATACTGTATTTGGTTTTCTTGAGCTTGATTTAAAAAAAAAAAAAAAAAAAAAAAAGGTGTGTTTCTTTTTTAATTTATTTTATTCAATCTAACATATATGACATGTTTTTTCATTGACACATCATTCATCTATATTTATTGAGTATTTAATGAATTATTTTTTTTTTTTTTTTTTTTTTTTTTTTTTTTTTTTTTTTTTTTTTTTTTTTTTTTTTTTTTTTTTTTTTTTCACTTTAGGATGTATGAGTTTATATGAAAAAGTTTATACATTTAGTATTAATAGAAAAAAAAAATTATAAATGATATCGATGACTATAGTTAAGCCCTGGCAACTATTTGAATCCACAAATATTTGTCATTTAAGTTTTTATGCTTACCATCATCTGAAACTTGGTAAATAATCATGTTAAATCCAAAATGAAATCTCCTCGAGGAGTGAATTTTTCTACTAGCTATATGGGAAACTAACATTTGCTAACACAGTGTCCAAATATAGCTGAGAATTGCAGTGTCATTTTGACTGCTTATTTCAGGATTTTCATTTTAAATAGGTCATAATAATATCGATCACTCATAAAAAGATATCTAAATATCTAGAAATCTACAAAGACTTAGAAAACTCTTGCATATAAGGCTCGTATATATTTATCAATCAACTGCATGCTTGTGGAAATTGTTCATAAATTATTGGAGTGAGTAACTCTCATGGTTTGGAATATAGTTGAGATGGGATCGATAACTATTAATGCATGGGGACGATTGTTTGTTTTTATTCAATAATTTGTTAAAAATTAAATATAAAAAGAGTCTGATCATCTCCATTAATCTTTGGAACAAATAGCCACGATAAATAGCAATCAAATTAAACATACTTTAATAAATTATAGAGCAAATTAAAAAACATGAGCAGAAAAGTCTTCGAAAAATTGGAAGTGTATTTTGTGATTAATAAGTCTTTTGAAAAATACTCTTGTATGGAAAAATATATTAGTCTTTTTAATGCATGGGAATATATACTTCATGTCTATATTCAATGTTGTTTCTTTCTAAATAGGGTTCATATTGATTTTTTCTTTGCTGAAATACTCCAAAAATTTATTGGACTCATGGAAAGTGCGTCAAAATCATGATTTGGAATACAGTTTGTGTCAGTTTGAAAGCGAATTAAAATTTAGGAATAATTGGTGGCGCAATTAATGTTTCGAGATAAATAAGTGTTGTCCCGTTACTATTTAGTTCTCTTGAGACCGATTTATTAAAAAATAAAACTCCATAAAAGTTCATCTTTTCCGTGTTTATGCTTGAAAGTACCTTTGAATATAGAATTATTAAACATAGAGAATACTTATGCGTAATTATTGTGAATTTGTTGATGAAAGTTTTATTAAATTGTTAGATTCTAACAAAAAAAAGGTTAGAATATATTCCATGATCAAGTGGAGAATATAACCCTTGGATGTCCATTGAATGTGAGTTTTATGTAGGAAAGTACCTTATAAAAGTTACAAATTTAGCTATTTGGCTTTCTGTGTATTTAACTAATTAAAATAAATAAGAGTATATAGATTTGTATTAGTGTCATGGTTTTAAAACCCAGATTAGAAAGAGTCCATAATTTGACTCATTGAATCACTAAAACATGTTTTAGTAATTAGACCGAATTGATCTGGAATTAAATTGGCAGGAATAGTATTGAATTGCAGTTCGACCACTAGGCCAGGTCAGAGAACCGGTTATTTAGATTTTGAATTTGAATGAATTTACTTTAGAAATTTATTAATTATAGTTTAAAATTTTTATTACATCATGCTGACATCAGCATGACATCACCTTTGCCACTCGCCAGTCAGAGTTAATATAAACTTTACACAGTTTCTCACACTTTATTTTAGTCTTTTAAAACATTCTGCCGAACATAAGCTGGAATTAACGTAAAAAAGACTCACAATTACCATTTATTTCAAAAAGAGAATGGCACTGCCAAGAAAGAAACTTACATCCACTTGTTGGGTTAATTACGGATTATCCATCCGGCTTCAACCTATTTATTACTTAATTTCTTCAGTAAATATAGCTTTATAGTAATAACAGAAAACCTGTAGTTATGTTCCTATTGGCGAAAGCCTCAGCTCTATAAATATTAATTAGTTAAGAGTATAAAGCACGTATGCCATTGATGTCATCTTGGTTGAGCTCTCTCTTAACGGTTCCTGCTGGAATTTCTGAAAACATAATGGCATTACGATCCATACTGTGTCCAAGTCCGAGAAGGTGCCCTATTTCATGCACTGCCACCGATTCCAAATCCAATTGGTTTGAGTTTGGATTAGTGCTCCAGCTCTCATCAGCATCATAGTGAAACAAACCAATTTTGGGTTGAAAAGCATGAACCAGAACGTTGCCTGGACCATCAAATGGCGATCCATCTCCATGGTCACTTCTATAAAACCCTATTTGAAGATCAGCTCGTGCTCCTCCTGTTGCCTCCTCGAATGTGAACTGGGAAACATCCGCCCATTTTTGAAATACTCGCGAGATGATTGACCTCAATTCTTCCAAGTCAATCACTGGGACGGCGGAAGGAAAACTATAGGTTAGATGAATCTTGTCACTAGGCCACTTTGGCATTCACTGAAAGAATGAATAATGAGCCACCATGTGGAAGTTATCAGACTTGTGGCCATGTTTGTGTTCATGACCAGCTGTGTTTGAACTAGTGTGATGAATAATATTAGGGTTTTCACACCTTTTGATCATCATCTCTTTGATGGTATCCGAGTCAAGAATCCCGATGACTTTGAGATTATAATTTTTCTGGTAGGTTTTCAAGGCAGACTCTAAAGGATCATCAAAATCATCAGTTTGATCATTGTAATTTAAGTATCCAAAACCAATGAGGTAGCGTTTGAGGTCTTGGATGCCTTTCACAGTTTGGCCCTTGTAAGACCCCTCAAGGTTTGGGAAGAACTTGGAATGTTAATATATGAAGCCCAAAACGTCAACGTTTTCTGCAGATGCGTACTTATCAAATACGCTGCCATTTCAATGCAAATGAGAGCTGATCTCAGCCTCTGAAATGAAGAAGATCTAACGGCCAGAATTAGCCCATGAAGTCCAACTAGATAAAGGAAGAGTTCTTCACAACAGTAACGCATTTTGCTTCTCTTCTCTTTGTGCAACAGATTAGTTTTTGCTCTTGTGGTTTTGAGTTTTTTGTCAATCTTGCTTTAAGTTGTGAATCTGTGTAATCTTAGGGTGAGGGTAGTGTTTCCTTCAAGATTAGAGAGACTGGGTCAGGTCCTCTCTAGGGATTCCAGTTTTGAGTGAGTTAAAGATTGATCGTTGGATGAATCTTTGAGAGTTGTTTTGTAATCTGTAATAACAGCTGATTCCTAGTACAGTAAGCCCTAAAAATTCCTAGAGCTCAACGTGGATGCAGTTTTTCCATTCTGGAAAGGTGAACCACGATAAATTTGGTGTTCTTGTGATTGGTTTGATCTTGATTCTTTGGTGTGTGTTATTTGTTGGTTTGTGCGTGTGATTAGCAGTGAATTGATTGTGGATTTACATAATAGTGGTATCAGAGCACGGTTAGTGTTGTCAATCCTTAGGGTATGCTTGGGAGTTTTATGGTAGCAGTTATGAGGGTAAACCATCATAGAGGTTTTGAGGGTAAACCACCGTAGTGGTTTTGAGGAGTTTTTAGTAGCAGTTTTTAAAACACCCAACCTGTACTTGGGAGTTTATTTTCCAATAGTTCTGACAGTTTTTTTAAATGATAAATTTACATATATACCCATAAAAATACCTCAATTTAAACATTTAAATAAAGAGAAGTATATATCAGTAAATTACAATGTTGTCTATCTTTCGCTTTCTTCACACGAACACAACCAAACAAAGTTAAAACACACTCTCTTTTGCTGAATTAATTTTGATACAAATAATGCCTACATTATTTGTTTTTATTTTCTTTCTCTCTAATCAAACAAGAGGACATTATTTGTCTATCTTTCGCTTTATTTTATTTGTTAAGGTTAAACGCCTTCTTGCTTCTAGGATTGTTAAGGATGAAGGAAATTTTGATGACTTGTAAAGGATGAAGACCTGGTAATTCTATTTTAAGTATCCAAAAAATCAGCATTGTACTTAACTACCCACCTTCCGAATTCTAGTTCCACATTTATCAATCAACACAGTCCCATGGTAACTGAAATGGGTTGAAGTCTGAGTTGGTTCTCGTTGAACTCTTGAGAAGACATTGTGGCTACCTAACTTTAAGTTTGATTGGCTGCATCAATGCTATAATTATGCACAATTGCTTTAGGTGGACTGCTCGAGCTTTGTGTGCAGCAAGAGATTTGTGTGTAGCAAAGGGATTATTACTGGATTGGGGTTTTTTTGAGATAAAATTTTTAAACCAGCCAAAGCACCCCGATTTGGGGTGTTTTATAAACCCCTCAAAAATACATTACACTGGTTTTGGGGGGTTTTTTAACCAGTCAAAACCAGCCCATTAAAAATCTGGCAAGTAATGGTTTTTAAACACTTCAAAACCAGTCTAATTAAAAATCCCCCAAAACCAATGAAAAAAAAACTCCCAAGCAAACCCTTAGGGTTTCTTGATTTCGAAATCTAGGGTTTGGTCATAAACTAGGGATTTCTTGATTAATAGGCTTGGGATTAGAAATTCTGTAAATTCGAGATATCAATTTGAGAAATGGTTTTTTCTAGGGTTCTATTTAGTAATCACCAAACACAAAAACAAGCGCATTCAATCATGAGTACAACTAGGGTTGAGATCACCCAATATAATGGGAAGATCGATTTTGGCAGTTGGAGGAAGAAGATGAAAGCTTTGTTGTCCCACAACAAAGTGTCTATCACGCTAGAGAAGGATTCCACCAAGTGGCCGGAGGAGAATCTAAAGAAGAAGGCCGAAGTGGATGAAGAGGCCTACAATTTAATCATCATGAACCTTACCGACAGTGTGCTGCATAAGGTCGATGGGTTTGAAACACCTATCGGCCTCTGGGTTAAGCTTGAATCTCTCTATTTTTTACAATCAGCTCCTCATCTAGCATACTTAAAAAGTGCACTTTTTTTGTATAAAATGGATAGTAATAAGACTGTTGAGGAGAACCTTGATGAGTTCTTGAAAATGACCCTGGTTCTCAAGGGCATTGATCAAGAACTCAATGACTCCAGCCTTGCCATGATTCTTTTAAATTCCTTTACTGATGAATGTCAGGTAGTAAATAACACTTTGCAGTACATTGGCACTGTACCTAGTGTAGATTTAATTGTTGCTGGGTTAAAAGCTAGGGAGTTAGTTCAGAAGAGGAGTGGTAATAGCCTATTTGTTAAGGGTAAGGGAGAAACTAGTCAGGTGGGTAGTAATCCTCATCGCGACAGTGGCCCTAGGAACAAAAAGAAGAGTAAACACACAAATAAATCCAAAGGGGAAACCCAGAAATGTTTCTATTGCAATAAGACTGGTCATCTAAAGAAAAACTATTTTGAGTGGAAACTATTTTGAGTGGATTAGGAAACAGAAACATTCCAACACTGAGAGCAATTTAGCCACCACCAAACATAGCATTGAAGAATCAGAGGTCCTAACAGTGTCTAAGGTTGATACTATAGGGGAATGGGTGGATTCTGGTTGCTCATTCCATATGAGTCCAAACAAAAATTGGTTCCAAGATTTTGAGCCAAATGACCTTGAGACTGTGTTTATGGGTAACAACAATGCATGTAAGGTTCAAGGGGTTGGTAGTATAACTTTGAGGCTGGATGATGGAAAACTAGTCAAACTAACTAAGGTTAGATATATTCCAGATCTTAAGAGAAATCTGATTTCACTAGGAACCCTGGATGAATCTAGGTGTTGTTATATGGCAGAAAATGGGTGCTTAAATGTCTATAAGGGTAACAGCATAGTATTTAGTAGGGTAAAGAGGAATGGGTTGTACATCTTAAGTAGGGCTCACTGTTCTTATTGTTTGCTTACTACAAATCTGACAGACACTAAAAAATGGCATTTAAGGTTAGGGCATATGAGCCAAAAAGGTCTAGATACTCTAAGTAAACAAGGGTTGTTTGGCAGGGATGTCATTAGTGATTTGAAGTTTTGTGAAACTTGTATAATGGGGAAGTAGCATAGGTTAAGTTTTCATAGAGGGACACACCAGGCCACTAATTGCTTAGAATACTTACATGCTAATCTTTGGGAGCCTGAAAAGATAAAATCTCATGGGGGCAGCATCTATTTCATGTCTATAGTGGATGACTACAGTAGGAAAGTTTGGGTATTTCTACTTAGATCTAAAAATGAGGCTTTAGAAAGGCTTAAGAGTTGGCAAACCCTTGTAAAGAATCAAGTGGACAAAAAAGTTAAAGCCCTTAGGACAGATAATGGGCTAAAGTTCTGCAACTCAGAGTTTGATAGGTACTGTAGTGATCAGGGTATTTTGAGACATAGAACAGTCAGGGGAACTCCTCAGCAAAATGGAGTAGCTGAGAGAATGAAAAGAACGTTGTTGGAAAAGATGAGATGCTTACTGTTCACATCAAGATTACCCAAGACTTTTTGGGGAGAAGCCCTCAACACTACAACATATTTAGTAACAAAAGCCCCTCTAGTGCAATAGGTTTCATCTATCCCAAGGAGAGATGGTCCAAAAGAAAGCCAAACTTAAACCACCTTAGGGTCTTTGGGTGTGCAGCCTATGCACACACAAATGAAGGGAAGCTTGAACCTAGGTCACTAAAGTGTGTATTCCTCGGTTATCAAGAAGGAACTATGGGGTTTAGATTATGGGAAAGAACATCACCAAAGGTTAAAGTAATAATCAGTAGGGATGTTATTTTTAATGAAAATATTTTTCCGTGCAAAACTACTAACCCTGATGTAGGTACCTCTAACATTGATCCTATGAGTCAAGAACCAAATGCAGGGACACAAATTGAGGTGGAGCCCTCAAGCATTCAACCTGATGAAGAAACTGAAATGGCAGCCCTGGATCATGACTATGAGGGTGAACCAGTTGAGAACTTTGAACCAACCCAAGAAGAACCCCTGGCATAGTATCAGCTAACCAAAGACAGGACCCGTAGAGAGATCAGACCTCCGGCAAGATAGTCATATGCTGATCTAATCTACACTGCACTGATGGCTAGAGCTAAAGTACTAAGATCATAACCTGATAGCTATGAGGAAGCAAACAGATCAAAGGACAAAGACAAATGGCAGGCTGCGATGAAGGAAGAAATGCAGTCCCTAAAAGTCAACAGAACCTGGACCTTAGTCCCAACTCCAAAAGATCATAAACCAGTTGAATGTCGATGGCTATTCAAGATAAAAGAAGGTATAAACCCTTTTAACTCTCCTAGGTACAAGGCTAGACTTGTAGCTAAAGGTTACACACAAAGGGAAGGCATTGACTTTAATGAAATTTTCTCACCAGTAGTTAAGTATAAAATAATTAGGATTATGTTGTCTGTAGTTGCACACTATGACCTAGAACTAGAGCAACTAGACGTTAAGATTGCTTTTCTACATGGAAACCTATAAGAGAAAATATATATGAGGCAACCTGCTGGATTTGTTGATAAAAGACTTCCAAATTATGTGTGCTTGCTGCATAAGTCGTTGTATGGACTGAAACAGTCCCCTAGGCAGGGGTACAAAAGATTTGATGCATTCATTTTAAGCATTGGGTTTAACAAGGGCAAATATGATAGTTGTTTTTATTTTGCTTTGGATAATGATATGCCTTTTTATTTACTCTTATATGTGGATGACATGCTCTTGATTAGCAAATCTAAATCTAGAATAGATGGATTAAAGGGTAAACTTAAGGATGAGTTTGACATGAAAGACTTAGGATGTGCTAAAAAGATATTAGAAATGGTAATGCATAGGAATAGAAACTGCCATGAATTAAGATTAACTCAAAGTTCCTATTTGCAAAAACTAGTTTCTAAGTTTAACATGGCTGAATCAAAGGTTGTATCTATGCCTTTAGCTAGTCATTTCACACTTAGTAAACACCAATGTCCCAAAACAGATTCTGGGTTAATAAAGATGGAACAAATCCCTTATGCAAATGTAATAGGGTCAATTATGTATGTCATGATTAGCACCAGGCCTGACCTCTCCTTTGCTATGTCATTATTGAGTCATTTTATGTCGAATCCTAGGTCAGAACACTAGTCAGCTCTTAAATGGGTTCTAAGATATATTAATGGCACTTCACATGTTGGTTTGGAATACTGTAAAAGATATAATTCACTTGATCTTGTGGGCTTTGTAGATTCTGATTTTGCAGGGGATAAAGACACAAGGAAATCAACCACTGCCTATGTTTTCATGTTGGGAGGAAATTGTGTCAGCTGGAAATCCCAGCTTTAGCCTATTATGGCACTCTCCTCAACTGAGGCAAAGTATGTGGTTGTTGTTGATGTATTCAATGAGGCACTGTGGCTCCGAGGAATACTAACTAAAGTGAATTTGATTGATGGAGTAGCCACCATTTATTTAGACAGCCAAAGCACCATTCACCTGAGCAAGAATCTTGTCTATCATGACAGGACCAAACATGTGGATGTGAGAGTTCACTTTGTTTAGAGATCTAGTTGCCCAAGGATTGATCATCTTGAAGAAAGTCCCAACTGAAGATAATCATGCTGATATGGGTACCAAGATTGTCACTGCTGCCAAGTTCAAGCATTGCTTGAACCTACTGTTTGTCAAGTAACAGGCAGCAACTGAGATGTGAAGGGAGTTTAGGATGGTTAGCTACACTTAGGAAATATGGGTTGTAAAAGTTTTGAGCTTCAAGGTGGAGAATTGTTAATATATAAAGCCCAAAACGTCAACATTTTCTGTAGATGCCTACTTATCAAATACGTTGCCGTTTCAATACAAGTGAGAGTTGATCTCAGCCGCTGAAATGAAGAAGATCTAATGGCCAGAATTAGCCCATGAAGTCAAACTATATAAAGGAAGAGTTCTTCACAACAGCAACGCATTCTGCTTCTCTTCTCTTTGTACGACAGATTAGTTTTTGCTCTTGTGGTTATGAGTTTTTTTTCAATCTTACTTTAAGTTGTGAATCTATGTAATCTTAGGGTGAGGGTAGTGTTTCCTTCAAGATTAGAGAGACTGGGTCAGGTCCTCTCTAGGGATTCCAGTTTTGAGTGAGCTAAAGATTAATAGTTGGGTGAATCTTTGAGAGTTGTTTTGTAATCTGTAATAACAGTTGATTCTTAGTACAGTGAGCCCCAAAAATTCCTGGAGCTCAACGTGGATGTAGTTTTTCCATTGTGGAAAGGTGAACCACGGTAAATTTGGTGTTCTTGTGATTGGTTTGATCTTGATTCTTTGGTGTGTGTTATCTGTTGGTTTGTGCAAGTGATTAGCAATGAATTGATTGTGGATTTACATAACATGGAAGAATGGCCATCAGGCTTTAAGGTTCTAGACTGAACAAAGAAGGACTCAATTATAAGGAGAAAAAGCAAAGTTGGCAAAATGGTGGATAGTTTAGAAGCCTTTACAAAAGTTTGTTTAAAAAGAAAAGAAGCTGCTTCTTTGGTATGTTTTTGCATGGTGTCAAATGATACTATTTATAGACATTAGCGATCGGCTTAACAAAGGTAATAATCCAAACTATGTGTAGAGAAGTCTTCGAAAAATTAATTTGAAGTATGAACTAGAAAATAAAAGATAGAAAATTTCGTTTGTTGAGAAAATTTCGTTTGTTGGGGACTTTTGAGAGTCAAGTCTATTTGTGATTCACGAGTCCTTACATTAGAAAGTTAAAAGAGTTATCACAAGTCTTTCTTTACTTGCATCTGTTTTTTCAAAATTTTGACTTGTGGAAAATTACATTAGCCTTTCAATTGTGCATAGACTTTCTCCTCCTTATCATTTAGAAAGTTAAAAGAGTTACCACGAGTCTTTCTTTACTTGCATCTGTTTTTTCAAAATTTTGACTTGTGGAAAATTACATTAGCCTTTCAATTGTGCATAGACTTTCTCCTCCTTATCAATTAGAAAGTTAAAAGAGTTATCACAAGTCTTTCTTTACTTGCATCTGTTTTTTCAAAATTTTGACTTGTGGAAAATTACATTAGCCTTTCAATTGTGCATAGACTTTCTCCTCCTTATCATTTAGAAAGTTAAAAGAGTTATCACAAGTCTTTCTTTACTTGCATCTGTTTTTTCAAAATTTTGACTTGTGGAAAATTACATTAGCCTTTCAATTGTGCATAGACTTTCTCCTCCTCATCATTTACAAAAATCTTGCAAATAATAAAAATTTTACAAAAATAAATATCTAGCTAAAAATTAGGGCTAGGCGGGTCCAGGTACCCACCCAAAATTGAAGGAACTGGAACCAAAGGTTTCGATTTCAGTTCTAGTTCCAGTTCCAATTCCAGTTTTAGTTCCAATTCCGATTCCGAGTACCCAAGAAAACTACTTTTTTACCCCCTACCAGTTAAAAAAAAGACACAAAAAACCCTTAAAAATTACAAATACCCCCACCTAGCAACTAAGAAATCTTTATTTGCCCTTTTTTTTTTCTCTTAACAACAACTAATAAATCTTGAGAACACATGGAAGTATTATTATTAAAATTGAGAAATTTTTAATAATTCTTTTTGTATCTTCATTTTCTCGAAATTTTTAACATCTTTGTAACCTTACGATGTATGTTTACAAAGAAATGTTGGAAAAAACATGAGGAAAACTTCCCATCAAATCATATTATATATATATATATATAATATTATTAAACATTACGTGGTACCATATCTTTCTTTAAAAAAAAAAAATTCTTATTTGTGAAAAATCAATAAACATTTAGATATCAACATAATTTGTAATCTCACAATTTTACAATACATTAAAATATGTAATTCTGAATATTATTAAATAAGATAAATATATTTATATCTTGAGAAAAAATTGATAATATGTAATATGACAACTTATTACTGTCATCAAAGATTTGTAGAGATTAGGGGGAGGATTAGTGGTAGGAGAGATAAGGGAGCAAGTGAGGAACACACACCATGAATTTTTTATATGACACGCAAAATTATGAAACCCCCTTCCCCACCAAAACTCTTTAATGCTATTTTAGATTAGTCCCGATTCCCTATTTTGGTTCTTGACCGTAGAAACTAGAATCAGAACTATATAGTGTCGGTTCCAGATTTTTGGAACCAGAATCAACCCTGTAATGATCAGTTCCAAGGAGGAACCAAAACCGAATCCCGGGCACCCATTGGTTCCAATTTCAACTGGTTCTTTTGCACACCTTTACTTTGGTAAGGCATCAAAATCGTGGTTTGAAATATAGTTGAGATAAGGTTGATGACTATTTAATGCATGTGGACGGTTGGTAATTAATAGTTTGTTCAAAATAAATAAAGATGACTATAGGTCAATCTGAAAGTGATCTAATTAAGGAATTGAAAACAATTGGCCGCACAATAAATATTTTGAGAATAATAGTTTGAAAGAACAAAAGAGCATTTGGAATCAAATTAAAACTAATTACACATAAATAATGAAAAATAATAAAGAAAAAGAACAAGCACGATTTATCCTGATTAATCCAAAACCGAGCTATGTTCAACAAAGTGAATGTATTCACTATGTTGAAATCGTTAAAGTCGAAGAAGGTGCTATTGAAGTAAGATTGAAAACGACACCATTTTGTTACTTAAAGTGAAACGCAGAGTTTTGGGACAGAATTAGTTAAACATCCTGACCATCCAATCTGTATAGATCCAACGGCTAAGGCTTGTCAAAAGGGTCAACGGTATAAAAGAGAGATGAATAGTCATTTACGCAGTTAGTTCTAGGTTTTTCTCTGTATTCGTTTTTCTCTGTTCTTGATTAGGTTTTCTGCATCTTTGAGAATCATTGTAACTTGGGTAGATTGATTAGGTTGTGTTAGTCAATCTGAGAGGGTGGTTTTACTCTTGTGACTTGAGGATTCTAGTTGAGTGTTCTTAGGTTTAGTTACGGGTTGATTCTTGTGTGAGATCGGAGAGGGTGTATTTGGTTTGATTATGTACTATGTGGATCTTGTGAGCTCTCCATTTTCGGAGCTCAACATAGATGTAGACTATCCAATCAGGATAATCGAACCACGATAAATCTTGTGCTCTTATGTTGTTGGTTTGTGCGAATCTGTGTGTTTGATTGATCTGGTGATTAGTTTGTGTTTGTTGACTGGTTATAACAGTGGTATCAGAGCTATTAAACAATAGGCTTGATCGATTTGGAGATTACTCGGTGATTTAGGGTTTTTGGAAAATTAGGGTTTGTCTAGAATTTGGGGCTTTTTCAAATTGAGGCTTCCCTTAGTAATCTTAAGTCCTAGTTTACATATTCGAGTGGTCAATTCATTAATTGAGGAAATCTTCTTGAAGATTCAAGTCTGAGTCTTAGCAATTTGTTCAAGAATCTCATTGTCAATTTGGTTAGGGTTTCAATTAGGGTTTCTTGAAACAGAGTCAATTTGTTTAAACACAAAATGTCAACCACACGATTAGAAATCACTTAATATGATGGAAAGATAGATTTTGGGAGTTGGAAAAAGAAGATGAAGGCACTGCTGTCCCACAACAAGGTGGGAATTGCCTTAGAGAAAGACGAAACCAAATGGCCATAAGAGAAACTAAAAAAAAAGGGTGAAATCAATGAGGAAGCGTACAACCTCATAGTGATGAATTTGTGAGACAACGTCCTGCGAAAGGTAGATGGGCTAGAAACTCCTCTAGCCCTATGGGGTAAACTCGAAACCTTTTATTCTTTACAATCAATACCTAATCTTGCGTTTTTAAAGGGTGCTTTATTTTTGTACAAAATGGATGGTTCTAAATCAATTGAGGATAATCTAGATGAATTCTTTAAGATGACTTTAATTCTTAAAGGAACTGATCAGGAACTAGGAGACACCAGCTTAGCAATGATCCTATTAAATTCCTTAACTGAAGATTATATAGTTGTAAAGAATACCCTTCAGTATTCAGGGACAGTGCCTAGCCTGGATCTAATAGTTGCTGGTCTTAAAGCTAGGGAACTAGAGCTTAAGGTTTAGAAAAGGTCTGGGAGTAACCTGTTTGTAAAAGGTAGGCCAGAATTTAGTCAAACAGGAAAGACTAATCAGAACCAACATGGGTCTAAAACAAGAAAAAAGGGAAAGGGAATAATAAAACAAAATCAGACACTAGGAAGTGCTTCTTTTGCAATAAACCCGGTCATATCAAGAAAAACTGCTTTGAATGGTTGAAGAAACATAAACAGGGTAATATAAGAGTAATCTAGCTTCTAGTAATAACCAATGGGAGGACCCTGAGGTCTTGACAGTATCAACATCTGATACTACTAAGGAATGGGTCCTGGACTCAGGTTGTTCCTTTCATATGAGCCCACACAAGAAATGGTTCCAGAATCTAGAATCTCAGGAAACTGAAACTATATATATGGGAAAAAATCAGGCATATAGAGTGTAGGGGATAGGCAGTATAACTCTTAAACTTACTAATGGAAAAGTTGTAAAGTTAACCAATGTTAGGTACATCCCTGAGTTAAAGAGAAATCTTATCTCCTTAGGAACCCTTGATGATGCTGGATGTTCCTATAATGCTAACAATGGTTGCTTATATGTGTACTAAAACCAGAACTTGGTTCTTAAAGGGGAAAAGAGAAATGGTTTATATATTTTATGTGGTGATTCTCACCCAGAATGTTTTAGCATTGTGCTGTCTCCTACCAAACAAACAGTAACTGAAAAATGGCACCTTAGGTTAAGACACATGAGTCAGAAGGGCATGCACATCCTTAGCAGTCAGGGAGTCTTTGGGAAGGACACCATTAGCAACCTAGAATTCTGTGAAAACTGTGTGTTAGGAAAACAACACAGATTAAGTTTTTCAAAAGGGACTCATCTAGCCACAAATTGCCTAAAGTAGTTACACTATGACCCCTGGGGTCCTGAAAAAATTAAATCCCATGGTGGGAACAGCTACTTCTTATCCATTGTAGATGACCACAGCAGAAAGGTTTGGACATTTCTCCTAAAGACCAAAGACCAGGTTTTGACCAAGTTTAGGGATTGGAAAACACTAGTAGAAAACCAATTAGGGAAGAAAGTAAAGGCTCTTTACATTGACAATGGACTTGAATTCTACAATTCTGAGTTTGATAACTTCTGTAAAGAACATGGTATTTTGAGGCATAGAACAGTAGCTAAGACCCCCCAACAGAATAGAGTGGCAGAAAGGATGAACTGTACCTTACTAAAAAAAGTTAGGAGTCCATCTATTGCCATCAATGGAAAGTGTCCCGAAGAAATCTAGTCTGGAAGAAGACCAGACTTAAGCTATTTGAGGATTTTTTGCTGTGCTGCTTATGCACATACTATAAGAGGAAAACTTGAACCTAGGTCTACTAAGTGCATATTTCTAAGTTACCAAGAAGGCACAAAAGGATATAGACTATGGCATAGAGAGACCCCAGGGGTGAAGATTATTGTAAGTCGAGATGTAGTATTCAATGAGTGTGAATTCCCTTGCAAAGGATCTGCCACTAATCAAGGAAGCATCAAAAACACTGAACCTAACCCCAACCCTACATAAAGTACACCAATTGAGGTGGAGCAACTTACACATCAGCCTAACTCAACCTAAACTGAAACTGAAACCCAAACAGAAGCTGACATTGAACCTGAACAACCTGAAGATGGAACCACTGATGAGATCTTAGAACATCAACCAACTGACTTTCAACAATACCAACTGGCCAGAGATAGGATCAGGAGAGAGGAAAGGCCACCTGCTCGTTATTCTTATGCTGAACTGATTTTTTCTGCTTTGCTTGCAGGTACAGAAGTCTAGAGGACAGAACCTGAAACATATGAGGAGGCCTTGAAATCCAAAGATAAAGAAAAGTGGGAAGCAGCATTGAAGGCAGAGATGCACTCACTAGAAGTAAACAGAACTTGGACTTTAGTACCCAAACCCAAAGATCAGAAGCTGATCCAATGTAAGTGGCTCTATAAACTTAAGGATGGTATTTCAATTACTAACCCACCTAGGTATAAAGCCAGGCTAGTTGCCAAAGGCTACACCCAAAGAGAGGGAATAGACTTCAATGAAGTCTTTTCCCTGGTGGTAAAATATAAAACCATCAGATTAATGTTAGCCATTATTGCACACCAGAATCTAGAATTAGAACAACTAGATGTAATTACTGCTTTTCTGCATAGAAATTTGGATGAGAAAATTTATATGAGTCAGCCTATAGGATTATTGATGTTAGGGCTCCTGACCATGTATGCTTGCTTCATAAGTCCCTATATGGCCTCAAACAGGCCCATAGGCAGTGGTACAAAAGGTTTGACACCTTTATAATAGGCTTGGGATTTAGGAGAAGCAAGTATGACAATTGTTTCTACTTTGATCTAGATAAAAATCTACCCATTTATCTTTTGTTGTATGTTGATGATATGCTGTTAATCAGTAGATCCAAGCCTAGGATACAAGATCTGAAAAAGAAATTAAATTCAGAATTTGACAAGAAAGATTTGGGAAATGCCAAGAAAATATTAGGGATGATGATATCTAGAGATAGGAGAAATAACTACTTAAAACTAGATCAGGGTGCTTATTTGCAGAAATTAATAAATATATTTGGTATGAATGACTCAAAACCTGTCACAATGGCCTTAGCAAATCACTTCATGCTTAGTAAAGAACAGTGTCCTAAAACTGAAGCTAAGATGATAAAGATGAATGATATCCCATACTCAAATGTGATTGGCTCCATAATGTATGCAATGATAAGCATTGGACCTGATCTGTCTTTTGCTATATCACTCCTTAGTAGATTCATGTCCAGCCCTGGCAGTGAACATTGGACTGCCCGAAAATGGGTTCTAAGATACATTAACAGCTCATTAAATGTTGGTTTAAAGTACTGTAAGAACAACATTGTGCTTGATCTTGTTGGGTTCGTAGATTCAGATTTTGCAGGTGATAGAGACACCAGAAAATCCACAACTGCTTACTGCTTTACACTTGGTGTAAACTGCATATGCTAGAAATCACAGTTGCAGCCCATAGTTGCACTTTCATCAACAGAGGCTGAGTACATAGTCATTGCTGATGTGTTTAAGGAGGCTATGGGTTACAAGGGATGATGTTAGAAGCTAACCTAATTGAAAGGAAGGTTACAATTTACTCAGATAGCCAGAGTGTTATACATCTGAGTAAAAACCCAGTTTATCACAAGAGGACCAAACATGTAGACGTAAGGTTTCACTTTGTGAGAGATGTGATAGCCCAAGGATTAATTAAGCTGAAGAAAGTGCCTACTGAGGAAAATCCAGTCGATATAAGGACCAAGATCATCACACCAGCAAAATTCAAGCACTGCTTGAAGCTGATGTCCATGGAGTAATTCAACATAAACTAGAGCTATAAGGGTTATGGTTAAAGTACACTGCATTACTGGTATTTTTCAAGTCTTCAAGGTGGAGATTGTTGAAGTGAAGACTGAAAATGACACCATTTTGTTACTTAAAGTGAAACGTAGAGTTTTGGGACAGAATTAGTTGAACATCCTGACCATCCAATCTGTACAGATCCAACGGCTGAGGCTTGTCAAAAGGCTCAAAGATATAAAAGAGAGATAAATAGTCATTTGCGCAGTTAGTTCTAGGTTTTTCTCTGTATTCATTTTTCTCTGTTTTTTATTAGGTTTTCTGCATCTTTGAGAATCATTGTAACTTGGGTAGATTGATTAGGTTGTGTTAGTCAATCTGAGAGGGTGGTTTTACTCTTGTGACTTGAGGATTCTAGTTGAGTGTTCTTAGGTTTAGTTACGAGTTGATTCTTGTGTGAGATCAAAGAGGGTGTATTTGGTTTGATTCTGTACTATGTGGATCTTGTGATAAATAGTAGTGATGTGAGCTCTCCATTTCCGGAGCTCAACATGGATGTAGATTATCCAATCAGGATAATCGAACCATGGTAAATCTTGTGTTCTTGTGTTGTTGGTTTGTGCGAATCTATGTGTTTGATTGATCTAGTGATTAGTTTGTGTTTGTTGACTAGTTATAACAGGTGCCCTATTTCATGCATTGCCACTGATTGCAAATCCACTTCATTTGTGTTTGGATTACTGCTCTACCTGTCATCATCATCATAATGAAACAAACCGATTGTGGGTTAAAAAGCATGAGCTAAAACATGGCCTAGACCATCAAATGGAGATCTATCTCCATGATGACCGCTAGCCTATTTGTATATTATCTTGTGATCCTTCTATTGATCACTCAAATATAAATTGGGAAACATCCGCCCATTTTTGGAATGCTCGCGAGATTATTGGCCTTAGTTCTTCCAAGCTAATCATTCGGACGTCGGAAGAAAATGTGTCGGTAAGATGAGTCTGGAAAGATGGCCAGTTTGGCGTTCCTTCAAAAATTGCATAATGAGCCACCATGTGGAAATTATCAGACTTGCGGCCATTGTGTTCATGACTTGTTGTTTTTGAAATAGTGTTGTGATGGTTAATATCAGGGCTTCCACATCTTTTAATCATCATCTCTTTGATGGTATCCAAGTCAAGAATTCTGATGACTTTGAGATTGTAATTTTTCTAATACGTTTTCAAGGCAGACACTAAAAGATCATCGAAATCATCAAGAAGATTGATGTTATTTTGATCATTGTAATTTAAGTATCCAAACTGAATGATGTAGCATCTAATTTCTTGGAGGCCTTTCACAGTTTGGACCTTGTAAGACGCCTTTAGATTTTGGAAGAACTTGGAAAAATGATCAGGCTTTAAGGTTCTAAACTAAACAACAAAGGCGTTAAATATAAGGAGGAGAAGGAAAAGTGCCAAAAGGTTGGATAGTTTAGAAGCTATGTAAGAAAATTTGCAGCAAAAGAAAAATTAAATTGAGGAAATTTTATTGAATGAAAATTTGACTACAAAAAACTTTTAGGGTTTTTGGTTTTTTTTTTTTCTTTTGACTCTATTTTTATGGTATTGTTCTCTAAGAATAACAAGATATTTATAGGTTCCTAACCCTAGTTACATAGTCTCCTCATCCCTAGAACTATAACTTTTAAACCTTGCCCAACTTTAATTCTTTTGGGCTTAGGATTACAAATTACTTTTTCCTACACTCTCCCTTAATTTGTAATCTTCAATGAATTCTTGAACTTTTTGAGCCTTCCTTGAGGGTTTAAAAACGTCATTTGAATTGTAAATATCAATTAAAAATTGTACCTTACTTGAAGAACTTTCAAACTTTGATGATTTCTTGAACAATTTTGAACTTGACCTTTTGAGAGATCTGAACTTTCCTTCTCTTGAGAGATGCTTCCAAGATTAGCTTCAACTTGAGTTGATGATGATCCAGCAAAACCATTATATATTTTTTCTTGAGAAAGTGGCAGTATTTTTCTTTCTATCTATGATTTTGCATCTTTTATGATAAAAACAAATTGAATAGCCTTTTTGTATTATTTGACCAAAAAGGTTTTAAGTCAAATTAAGGACATAAAAAACATCACTAATAAGCTTTCTGCTACCTCTTTTAGTGCAGACGCAATAGTGTATTTCCCTTCAATAGTTTGTAGCTTCTCATTACCAAGTTTTACTTTAGAAGAAATTTTTTTATCAAACTCTATGAACGTGTTGGGATTTTCAATCATATGATTACTACAACCGTTATCCAAGTACCATAGATTTTGTGATTTGACAACGGTAACATTCTTGCATGAATAGAATGAATATTCTTCTTTGCATCTTTTTGTGAAAATGGCCTCGTTGTGTCTCTTATTTTAATACCAACAATCTCTTTTGGAGTGATTAGGGATTCGACACTTTTTACACCAAAAATAACACTCTTTTGATTCATAATTTGATTTCTTAAATATGATGGACCCACAATAGACCATACGCAAACTCTGATACCTCTTGTAAGAAAATTTACCGCAAAAGAAAATTAAATTGAAGAAACTTTGTTGAATGAAAAATTGATTACAAAAAAGTTTTAGGGTTTTTTTTCATTGACTCTATTTTCCTGGTATTGTTCTCTAAGAATAACAAGATAATTATAGGTTCCTAACCCTAGTTAGATCCGTCTCCTCATTGAATTGGTTTTTCTAAATCTCTTAGGACTATAACTTTAAAACCTTGGCCAACTCTAATTCTACTGAGCTTAGGATTATAAATTAATTTCTCCTGACAAGCCATTACAAAATTTTCTTTAAAAACAAGAGAAGCTGCTTCTTTGGTGTGGTTTTTTTCATAGTGTCTAAGGAGACTATTTATAGACATTAGCGATTAAACAGAGGTAATTAAAAATTGGAATTTTATAATAAGTTTAATTAAGTTGAAGATGAAGTATGAACTAGAAAATAAAAGAGAGAAATTTGATGGTTGTGTGGGGAGTCGTGACGGTGAAGTCTATTTTGGACTTCTTCGTGGAAAAATACATCGGCCTCCTTATTACGTAATCTTGGCTTACGTCAAATTGAAACTTCTTTTCCTTTTTAAAATTCTTTTTATATTTACTACCTCCTTTGCCTCCACCTTTTAAGTAGCTTTAAAGAAGGTTCATATTTATTTTCCTTGTTTAAATTGTTAAAATATTATTGGACTCGTAGAGTGCGTAGTTGATGAAGTGGGGTAGATGACTATTAATGGGTCTGAAACGGTCGTTGTAAGAATAAAGAAAGAAGACTTTGGGTCAATTTGAAAGTTAATTAAGGAATTAGGATTAATTAATCGCACAATTAATGTTTCCAGAATAATGAGAATATATAATAATAATAATTATTATTATTATTATTAGTGTGTCGTCTCTACAAATCCTTATAAACCATATGAACCATAAAAAGATAATGCATCAATAGTATTACAACAGTATTACATTAAAACATAACCATATGAGCCAAGCATTCGAATTAAAACGCAGAATATACCTTACAAATAATTATTTAACAAGAGGTTGCAGTGCCAAAAAAGAACTTATAATTGTTGGGTTAACCACATATTAACATTGATGAGAATTCAATTAACATTGATGAGAATTCAAGCATATTGTGTTCTTTAAACATGCAAGATTGTTCATTGAAAAATCAAGAACCCAAACCTTACAACAAGCCCAAGCCTTACGAGGAGGACAACATTCGGCCCAAGCACTCAAGAAAGCTTACAAACTAGTCCAAGATGTGTTACTAGTCCAAGACATGGCACAAGTCCTTTTGTGTGGCCTAAAACGTGGAGATCAAGTAGGGAGAAGCTTAATTGGTCCAAGCCCAATGTGTGGATGCTATTTGATTCAATTTGGTGAAGGATAACTAAGTAAAATGCAATTAGGGACATAGATCCTTAATTTAAGAAGTGGTTGTCCTTTGCATTAAATGGGTATGGTTTGCATTTTGTAAATGAATGGTGGAGAATTAGTCCTTAATATTTTGTGTAAGGTTTTTTAATATTTATGTAATATTAATTAAGGCAATTCTCAACTTTTGTAAAGCCTATATAAAGGTCACTCTTTCATAATATGAATTAGATGATGAATATTGAATTAATAGTGTTTCCATGGAGAATTGTGTTTCTCTTCTTTGAATTCCTTTACCCAAGTTTCGGCCAAGCTTGGTGGTGGATTGATTTTCAAGCCGGTGGAGTTTCCTTTAAGCTTGAATAATCTTTGGTCATCTATCTTGTAAGTAATTCCCATTTGGTTCCAACTCAATTGTTCTCCCCCCCAAACACCGTCCATGTGGAAACACCACACCAACCCTATGAGAAAAGACGACCCGTCACTACCACCAAATACCACCACAGAAGAAACACACCCACGAGTGGAGAGATAGAATAGTAGCGTTCTCCTCTAGTGAAACTGAGGCACCTAGGAGGAGAATAAGAAACTTTGATGATGATAGGGTATCAATAGATTTGCTCGAATCTGGTGGTATTCTAGACCCTAACAGTTTTCTTGTTGGTTGATGTGAATTGTGAAAGGGTGTTTGAGTTCAAGGGATTTCGGTATGAGAAAAATGTAAAGTAGCTATTCTTATGTTCAATGGATATGCTTCTTTATAGAAAATACTAGAAAGAAAAGAGAAAAAGAGGAAAGCTAAGTCAAGTCATGGATAAATTGAAGAGCATGTT